GGGAGGCGACCTCGAGCCGCGCAGTGCAGCAGTGGCCAGCAGCCGCTGAACATCGCACGCGTTACGGCTTCGTGCGTGCAGTGAGGATCGCGGGGAGAAAGTTGGGAACCACTTCTACAGAAGCTGGAATGTGTGGATGGTGTGTTTAATCGCTTAAAAATAAATTGGGTATGGGTGTGAGCGCAGCTTGGCTCTCCCAAGCACGTCCCAGGCTGTGAAAGCTCCCTGCAAACAGTGACCTTCAGGCGAGGGTTTTTAACAAAACAAAACAAAGCTTCAGTTAGACAAAAAATATATTTGAAGTATAAAATGCTGTAGCTCCCATAATTCTTTATTAAATATTTAATTAAGTTGCATTGTTTCATTACAACAACTTCGTTTTGTCACATTGAGCTTTTGCTGTCAGTAAAACAAACGACGCTTTCACTGCTCCTCAGAAAATAACCGGAAAAAATGCCTTGTCCACAACAAATCCTTTCCCCGCAGTGCATCGAATCCAACCACCGGTTAAAGCTGTATTGTGAAAATCAGCATTATTTATAAGTAAGTAGTGCTTTTAAAATCAGTTGTCAGGTAGTTCAGCACAATTTTGAATACCTTCTAGTGTGAGGTGATCCTACAGAAAACAATTCTCAAACACTGCGCATTCAAGCTGGAATGTTTGATGCTTTTGCATGTTTGGAAATACTAATAACCTCAGTTTTAAATTTGATTTAAAATTTATGTTCACACACAGAGAACATGGCCCCATCGTTTTCTGGAGTTTCCCGTGTGGGTGTTGAGACTCGCAGCCTACCCGCTGCTGTGACACAGCTGCCGTGGCGACGGATGCGACGCCTGAAATCCGGCAGCACGCAGGGGAGTACAGAACGCCACGCGGGCTCTGTGTGTTGTTACAGCTACACAGGAAAAAATTAAGAACAAAAACCCGAGGTCTGTGTGAAAATAACACAGGTAAGGAAAACCCCAGGTAAGGAAACCCCCACCATGTAAGTGGAGGGTAAATGGGGACGAAGGGAGGGGTGCCGTGGTGCATCGGCTGCCGTAGGACCGGGCGGGGTTTGGGCCGATGGCGTCTGTCAGGGTCCCAGGCGCAGGTGCCAGGCCTGACGGGCGCCCAAGGGTAACAGGGTTAGAGTCCAGGTCCCTACGGTTCCTGTGCATTTCAAATAGGCATTAATTCTTCGTGCAACATCGTAACCGATGGGTGAAGACTGTAGGGGGTTTTCCTTTCCTTTTGTACATAAAATTACAACAGCAAGCTTTGTATTAACAAGGTAAGAAAATTAATGTACGTTTTAAAGTGTCCAATCTGGTAATCCACCTTTCTTTCTGCTATACCCACTGATAATTAGCCCTTGCACTCACATGGGTGTGATCGCTTCTTTTTAACTCTTAGCAGTGTGACCTAACTGCCCCGCTTCCGTCCCCAGCGCCCTGCTCTTCACCATTCCTGGCCCGCTGGTGTCATGTGAAGCGCTTCGCCAGACGACAGCCGCCGTGGGCGCGTGGCTCGCACCGGCAGCAGCACCCCCTGCACGCGCGCCGCGCCAGCACAGCACGCGCACTCCCTTCCCTCAGAATTCAGAGGGGCGGTCAGCGTGAGCGAGACCGAGGTAAGAGAAATCTTGTGGTAACAGCGGTGGCTCGGTGGCTGCGCTGTGGGTTGTTTGTGTTTTCTCTGGTTACTTTAGGAGCAAAGGCTGAAAAGCAGCAGTTTCCAGCAGCAAGGTGTGCGCTCAGTGAGGTGTACATCAGCTGCACCCTTACGGGGCACAGAGCTGCGATGGGAGCAGGAGCCAGCGGCTGCAGACCCCGTGCTCTGTGCTGTGACTACAATTTTTATGAATTATTTACTTCTAGGCTCCTTCAGAGCAAACAAGTAATGGTTTAGGTACCACCTTTATGATTACCTTTTAGTAACCCAAAAGAAGTAGCCGACTTGAACCTTTTGGAATAGTGGACAGCTCTGCGTGCTCCTGCGGTGGCTCTTACAGCCGCGGCAGGTTTGCAACGCAGGCGAGAGCTGTGGCTGCAGCGTCGAGGGCACGCGAAGCACAAACAGCACGCACTTATTTAGCTGTTTGCGCTAATCGCAAGAAAGCCAAAGTAGCACAAATTTTAGCGTCAGCTGTACAAGTGTGCCAGGGCACGGCCTGCTGGGCCTGAGCTGGGCACAGTCTCCGTGGGTGCTGCACTCGGAGCTGCCACGCCAAGGCATCCCCTGGGGGAGTCGGCCGTGTTCTTTTAGTATTAAGCTGTTTCCTAAAAATTAAACCCCACCAGCCCAAACGCACACTAATTATGATTCATGCAGTGGAATGCGCCTCACTGTTTCAATAGGTAGTGAATACTTCTGGACTGTCTGTCAGTTTGTGAGCTGTGGATCTGAAAAGATGTTAAGCTAAGCCAGCCTAAATTTCCTTTAGAAAATAAAATTCAAACAAGAGTTTCCCTTCTAGGCCAACGTCACCATGTAATTCCAGAGCGCGGAAAGGGCTTTGATGTGGGTACTATTAGTAAATGTGTGTTAGAAGTTGAGGGG